GGAAGATGTAATCTTGTGATATCAGCAGTGGGTGAAACAATTGGTAATATCCCTGAGCAACATGCTGATGATTCATCCGACGAACTAAAAATAATTGTAATATAATCATTTAAATAAACACATAATTTTATATGAAAACAAAAGTTTTGGATAAAAAAGAAATAAAACAAAAAAATGACATTTACAATTTAAATTAGTTAAAAATAAAGCAGTAAACAAGTAATAACTAACATATCACGTAGCTTTTTCAATAATTCATCACCTTTCATTACCATTACTTCTCGTTCTTTCTTTGACAATTCGGTATGCTTGTAATTTAAATGTGCAATTAATCTGCAATATTCTAACATATTCCATTTGCAAATTAATACTTAAATGATAGGATTAAATTTTTAACTTCTATTTCAAAATAAAATCAAGTATTTGATAGAAATATCATGCCTAATCAAATAACCGCACTTACTACTAATAATCCTGTATTGTTGAATAATAGAAAATAGCATATATACAAAAATTAAAGGATGAATAAAATAATAAAATGATGATTTTCTTGTAAAGCCATTAATTATAAATATTTCTTATTTAATATTTCTCTTTTATTATCAAATTACATGACCAATGATCATTGATCAACATTACTGTTAATATTTTTCATAAGAGTGTTAATTGAATTTAATAAAAAATCCGCCAATCAGCTACATTAATTATGCCAAAAATGATAGGTAATTAAATGGAAGTTATCGTTAGTTATTTTTTCATATTAAAGTATATTATAACGAATTTGCTTCAAGCAATTAATAACATTACCAAAGTATTAATCATAAATATTATAAAATTACATGATCAATGATCACTGATCAATATTACTATTAATGAAAGTTCAAGAATTAATAATTTAATAATATATTCCGATAATTTAATCATATATTTTTATTTTTATGTCGTAGTAACGGTTAGTATACTTTGTAATATAAAATGAAACAATTAAAATAAAATAATAAGTCAATTTATTGCAAAAATATATTCCAATATGAATTCTATGAAATTTATTGGTGAAAGCATACTTTCGTTTTTCCGCGTATGAATCCAAACAACCATCAATTGTGCATCGATATGGATTATTGGCTCGTTTATGTTCAATAGCATGACGTGTTAGCATACAACGATTTTTAAATCTTAATTAAATATTCACTAAATTTAAATAATTCATTCGATATGAATGATAAGTATTATAGCTATTCAATCACATTATTATTATTATCATTATCATCATTATCACTATCATCATTATCATTATCATCATCATCATCCATTATTACCATTAACATTATCGCTATCATTGTCACCACCATTATTATCATTGTTATCATTGTCGTTATCATTTATTATTATTACTGTTATTATTATAGATTATAAATACACTTACTTTTGCCCACATTTCTGACAAGTTAATGCCATCATTTTCTCAAAAGCTGACAGTTGACGTCGACGTGTACTTTCCGCAAGTAATATTGGCACGTTATTTGATGTGCAATCTTTTATGTCATCCAATGAAGTTTGCTTAAATTAAAAATGACTGTTCTCTTTTTTTCTTGTCAGTTATATAAAATATGATTAAAACGATAATATGAATTGGAAAATTTACATTCGTTGAGATATCAGAAATTCGTTGCGATAAATTTTTCATAAGTTGCGCATCATTTTGAAGATTGCTACTATCATTATTATCTTTCTGTCCAACATTTCCATTATTTAAAGTATTAAGATAATATTTCGAATGACAGTCATTCTTCAATTTTCTCGTATTTATCGTATTTGAAGTGATTTTGGTCGAAATCAAATTGTCATCCTTAATGAGTCATAGTAATTATTTCATGTAATATAAAATAAGGAAAAATGAAGCAAATTTTAAGTAAATAAAAATTTTTAAGCAAATCTAAAAATTCATCTTTTGATTTATTCTTATGAGCTCAATTTTGAGATTATAATAAATTGAATTTTTAATGAAAATCGAACAATTAAGTGTTTTACACCTCAATTGAAACTGCTCTCGATGCAATAGCACTTGCTGGATTACCACTCGGTGCTTTCTGTTTCTAAAATTCTAAATTCTTGGCAAAAAAAACGAAATTGTAAAAATTATTTCACTTAATTATTTTTCTTATTTTCAAACCTCATATTCCAAATCACGATAACAATTGATACTTTTCGGTGAGCATAAAGATGTATCGGAATTCGATGATGCATCATCACTTATATTCCAGCAAAAATCAACATCTTCACGTGGAAAAGCTGTAACTATTAATTTAACAAAGTATATTCTTCGAAAAAACAAAAACAAAAAAATATGTCAAATGAACAAAAACATATTTATAGGTTAATTTGTAATTTCGAAGATATTCCATTCAATGATTGGTATCAGAAATATTCTCAATTTTATTTCAATTTAAAAAAGTGATCTCAAATCTTACCATATGTAACAATTACAACTTTTTCCTTTTCAACCGAAGTAATACATGACCGAAATTGATCATTGAGCACTTGCGATATATTTTCATTTGAATGCGAACTTTTTAAATGAATTATGAAGCTAAAAAAAGAAAAAAATTACATTGAAAGATTGATGAATATTTAAAAAATTCTTTCAAATGGGAGAAAAAAACTTCGTTTTTTCGTATTAAATTTATATGTAAATTATATCATCAAATAAAACTAACCTCCGTAATGTAAATATATATGCATCACAAAACAAACATTTAAATGATAAGACATGCGATGTCACGTCCTATAAATGCCATTTTATTCTGTGATGAAAATGAACGATTAATTTAAATTCGATAATTGTTAACAAATTCTATTTCAATCAAATAATTTTACGCTAAATTTTTTTCAAAAATAATCCGTATAAAAAGTAATTGCTTAGCAAAATACCTCATAAAATGGTACATTCAATGAAGCTGATTTAATCATTTTTCGATTTTTCATTCCTGTAAATCGTACATTTGTTTCTGTTGAGTGTGAATAAATTGATGAAATCGGATCTCTTTCATCTTTTAACATTTTATTGCCGTACTGACATGGTGAGTTGAAATATCGAATGATATTTAACATTGCTATTCCTTTTTTTGTGATATATAAAAGCATACTTATGAAGATAAAAATAATTTGATAAAAATGTTTTTAATTAATTCCGATATCATTGAAATCATATTAGGTGAAATATGATAATTTAAACTAACAATGTACTTTTCGTAGTTCTATTGACCATTTCATGCTAGCCATAGGCCTAAAAATGAAAAAATCAAAGTATTTTGTACAGTAAATTTTAGAGAAGTAAAGGTATATCATTAAAAATTAGAATGAATATATTAAAGTATAATTGGTAATCTGTGGACTAAATCCAATTTGAGTTGCATTAAATTAAAACGTAAATTTAAGTTGGTACAATTAATAATCAAAATGTTTTATAAAAATTTGAAATATTTTACTTTCCATTAAGCGATCGTTTACTTTCTTCAACATGCATTGATCATTGAATATATCAATCAATCATGCATGTTAATCTAAATGAGATAAATTTTTCTCTTATATGATAAATGAAAAATCAGAGAGAGAGAGAGAGAGAGAGAGAGAGAGGAAGAGAAGGAGTGAGAGAGAGGGAAAAGGAATTTTTTAAAAAAGAGAAATTTAATGGAATTTTTGAAAGATTAATGTCAGTTATTGTAGGCAGAATGGATGCTATGATGACGACGATGATGTAAGGCGACAACAAATCATTTTATAAAATACTGCAGGATAAATACGATGGAGCAATTTAAGGCAAACTTGTCAAATTGGTTATTGATAACAAATAATTATCGATAGGAACGAGCATTTCTTCAGAATGAATAGCTGAATAATGTTGTTTAGAAATCTGCTTTTATCAAATGATTGGAATGATATCAATTAAATCGATTAAATTTTACTTTTGAATTTGGCATATTTAAAATGAATCAATTCAAAATTTACATATCTCTCTATCAATGCTTTTCTTCCTTCTATTTCTTTAGGCAGCTAACGAATGCTTTGCAAAATAGTATCAAGCAGATTGAATAGCGTTTCTTTTCTTTTTTTTTCTAAATTTCTAAAATTCGGATTCAATCATTTAAATTACTAATAGTGAACAATTTATTATCATCTTTTAGGAATGCACAAAAAGAATTGGCATAATTAGCATAATGACAAGAATATTAGGACTTACTTTCTTCTCTTTTCTTTTATGGGATAAAATTAGACTTATTTTTCTTTCAAACTTATCGGATTTGATTTTAATTATTCAATCATTGATAAGACAATAATACTTTTGTGAATTTATGATTGAAAGACTCAAAAATCATATTAATTTGACGATACTATCACATCTATAAATGTTAAATATTATAAGTGTTAGGTATGATCCACGCAAAATAATAGAGAATAATAATAACATATATGTTAATAGTTAATAATGATAACGATTATAATTTGAAATTGCAATTACAACAATTTAACCACATTATTCAGATTTACTTTACAAGCTAATTAATAATTAGCTTCCAATTATACAGCTTTCTTTTCATTTTCAGAATTCCGAAACTTGACATTAGTTCATGAAATAAGTTAATTAAACAAATGAATTGATTTTTCTCTTCTTTTTTTAAAGCTTGGGATTGCATGAGACTAATATATTTAACTTTTTCGCCGTTTCTCCTATACGACTAACATTCCTCAGATCACAAAATTTAGGAATTTAGTTAATTATTCAATTTAATATTAACATGCACAATTTCTTTTTCATATTATCCACTTATCATAGCTATTAGCAATAACTCACATAGCATTTAGGTATTAATAATATTAGAGAAAAAAAAAAGACACAAAACGGAAATATTATTTTTGCTAGAGAAACAATATTAATAACGTTTAGCGAACTAGAAAATAATAACAAAATCATAAAATAGATACTATCTTATACTTCATAAATTTCAATTCATTAGAAAAAGACAATAAATGATATTGATTATAGATTAATTTAGACTTGATAAAAGAAATTTAAACAGAAAAAAACCAAAAAAAAAACCCGAAAGAAAAAGAGTTGCCAGAGATTTTGGATAGAAAATGATAGAAATAACAATTTACGTTAATCTTCTTCACTCCTTCTGCTTGCCTTTTCATTCCGTGCATACATTTTTCTGATGCCTCATCGGCGGCTATTTGCATATTCAATAAATTTACATTTCAACATGAACACATACACACACA